CATAATGTTGCTTTGTGATCCTGTTTAGCTCTTTAATGTTAAATTCCACTTTGTCTAGTATTAATACTTCCATTCTTGCTTTCCCTTTGTTGCATTTTACCTTGTTTTCAACATCCTCTTATCTACCTTTTTATGTGCATTTCTCACAAACAATATATACCTGAGTTTTGTGTTTTACCATAGTCTGATAATCTTGGTATTTTAACGGAAGAGTTTAAGTCATTCATAGTTTGTATAACAGGTATATTTGAAAATTTTTCTTTCTACTTTGCTACTTCACTTTGCTTCACCTTCTTCCTTTTCTTTTTGCTGTTTTGGTAAAGTTTTGTTTTTTATTGTTGTTTCATTTGGAATTTTTACTGTGCTTTTCCATTCACTAGTGATTACCTTCCCATTTCTGACATTTCTAGTAAATAATGTGTGTGTGTGTGTGTGTGTGTGTGTGTGTGTGTGTATTTCTCAAATAGCTATAACGTTATTCTTCCACCATGATCCTCTTTCTCTCAATAAGATAACTGTTTTCACATTTCCCATGTCCCCCATTCAGATAAGATTCGTAGAGCATTTTATTTTTCTCTTCTCACCTCCCCTAGCTGTTGCTCATAAAATATTTTTAGTTCTTAATCATTAGGTTTTCCTTCATAGTGTATTTCTTCTATTTCTATGATTCATGCTTGGTACTTAAGTGCAAGTTCTCAATTAACATATTAATTTATATTTAATTATATATCGCAAGATTCAATGTTAACATCTGTTTTCTTTCCTGTTGGTCTTTTTCTGGTTTAAAGACTTGTTATTTTTACTGTTGTTATAGGAGTATTTTCTTGAGTGTTTTCCTCCATGGGAATGTAGATGCTATCATTTCTGAGTGCAGACTCCTTGAATGCAGGGACCGTGTATTATTTACTTGTATTCCTAGCACTTAGAACTGTGCCTGGTCCATAACAAGCAATCAATACATGTTCACTGTTTTTGTGGTATTATATCACTACAAATTCACACATCTTTCTTCTACCCTGAACATTTATGTTGTTGGTGATATTTGATCCCTTACACATCTGCAAGTATTTTTCTATCACCCTGAGAAGTTAATGTCTTTACTGATATAGAGTCCTTGGTTCATAGTCCCTTTTTCTCTTTATTTATTTTTTATTTTTTTGAGTTGGATTCTCACTCTGTCGCCCAGACTGGAGTGCAGTGGCCGCTCCTGGCCACCGCAGCCTCAACCTGCTGGGCTCCGGCGATTCTTCCACCTCAGTCTTCCAAGTAACCAGAACTACAGGGTGTGCTACCATGCCCGGCTAATTTTTTGATTTATTGTAGAGATGAGGTCTCGCCAAGTTGCCCAGGTGGGTCTTGAACCCGCGGGTTCAGGCAATCCACTCACCTCGGCCTCTCAAAGAGCGGGATTACAGGCTGAGCCACCAAGCCTGACTCCTTTTTCTCTTTAATTTGTAGATTTTGTTCTGCCATCTCCTATCTCCCGTTACTGCAGGCGAGAAGTCTGATGCTAGACTGATAATTTTCCCTTTGTAATTTGTTCTTTCTGTGTGGCCTCTTTTAAGACTTTTACTGGGTAATAGGGCGTCCCCTCCCATCAATTATGCATAGAAGTCATGAGAACTTTTAAACTTCAGACTGAAGTCTCTTCTAAACCATAGAAAATTTCCTCTCATCTGTTTTTTACATCTTTTACATCTGTTCCTTTTTCCTGGTTCTGGAATATTTGTTATTGCCATATTATGTCTCTTGGCTCTGAATTCTAGTCTCTTATTCATCACAATTTCCATCATTTTGTTTTGTGTGAAAGAATTTTCATCTGCTTGCTCTTTTAGGTAAATAAGGTATTTTCTCAACCTTTTTTTTCCTCTTAGTTAACTTTAATCCATTGAGATTTTAAATTTGAATAACATATTAATGCCCCAAATTAGCTTTTTGTTCTTTATGTTATGCTCCTCTTATTGTTATTTAAAAACTAAAAGTTGTGCTCTGTTTCTTCCAACAGTCTTGTTTCATCAGGGGCCACCTACTTTAGCAGATCTAATTGTCTCTCTCTCTCTCTGGTTGCTGGATCCTCTTAAGTACTAACTTATATACATTTTCTATTTTCTGCACGAGCTAGGTTAAGCCTTTCCATTGTTGGAGATACAACAGTTTCTACTCCTGCATCAAGAGTGTGAAAGGAAGTCTCTATGTTTCTAGGTACCACTAAATGCAAGTCTTCCTTGTGCTTTTAGCTTCAGGGATGTAGAGTAAATTTCCCTACACTTTTTCAAGTAGGATACAATATTTCAACCACCCCTCTACCCTCTGCAGCAGGATCACACACATACTCTGAAGCAGAGCTACCCCTTTAACCAAGTGTTCATGGGTCCCCTCAGGCCTAGTCCAAGTTCTCACTCCAGGGACCCTGTTGCTGCCCCTCTAGCTCCCTTCAGACGTAGACATCCCAACATTGTCTTATAGCCTTTGTCACACCTCAGGCTCCTTCAGCTTACTCACCCCAGCCAGCTGAAGGCAGGACAAGAAAGAGTATCAGAGATGCAGAATTCTTACCCTTTTCTTTAAATTTTGATGAGTAATAGCCTATATTTTTGCAACTGGATTACACTATCTAAGCCCAGTGTGAATAAGGTTATATAACTTACTATATAAGAAAATGTAACATATTGGAATCTTAGAATTATAAATAACATGAAGGTCATGATAAAATGAATCTTTTTATGATGCTTTACAGTTTGTATGCAATTTTATACACATACTCTCATTTGAGTTCCAAAATAGCCCTGTGTGATAAGTATGGAAGTTATCACCCCCTTTTACTGATGGAAAAACTATAGCTCATAAAGGTTAAATAACTTGCCCAAGGACACATGGGTAATGAGTAGAACTGGCTCAAGAATTCATCTTCTTATTCTACTATGCCACTGCTTATTTGTTTGTTTGTTTCCAGTTGCCTTCAGAAAGTGTTACACTGCATAAATAATTTCTAAAATTCCTAAATTATATGTTATAACTTGTATTATACTTTTCAACTGTTTCTGTGATTCTGATGTGAATACTTTAAAATATATATAAAACTAGGATGTTGAGTATAAAGTAATAAGATTTTCTTATGTGGTTTGAAATCTAACAAAAGACGAGTTCGAAAAAGATTAATATAACTAGAATATTGTATTATTTACTGAAATTAACTTTTTTTAAAGGAGAACATACATTTTATATATAAGTACTTGATTTTTCTCATTGTAATTTTTTTTTTTTTTTTTTTGAGTTGGAGTCTCACTTTGTCACCCAGACTGGAGTGCAGTGGCCGCTCCCGGCCACCGTAGCCTCCACCTGCTGGGCTCCGGCGATTCTTCCGCCTCAGCCTTCCAAGTAGCTGGAATTACAGGCATGCGCTACCATGCCCAGCTGATTTTTTTATTTATATAGAGATGAGGTCTCGCTGCCCAGGAGGGTCTCGAACCCGCGGTCTCAGGCAATCCACTCACCTCAGCCTCCCAAAGGCATGGGATTGCAGGCTGAGCCACCGAGCCCGGCTTGTAATATATTTTTTAAACATTTTAATTTGTCTTACTATGTAGTAAAGTTATGCAATGCAAGAGAGCAGGGTCCCCAACATTTTTGGCATCAAGGACCAGTTTTGTGGAAGACAGTTTTTCCACAGACTGGGGGTGGGTGGGATGGTTTTGGTGAATTACATTTATTGTGCACTTTATTTATCTTATTATTACATTGTAGTATATAAATTATTATATTACATAATAATATATTACATAATGTATTATGTAATAATGTATATTATTAGATTGTAATATATAATGAAATATATAGCATACCACCTCAGCTCATCAAGCATTAGATTCTCATAATGAGAACGCAACCCAGATCCCTCTTATGCACAGTTCACAATAAAGTTTGCACTCCTATGAGAATCTAATGTCGCTGCTTCTCTGATAGGAGGTAGTGCTAAGGTGGTAATGTGAATGATGAGGAACAGCTATAAATACAGATGAAGCTTCACTTGCTTGCCTGTCACTCACCTCCTGCTGTGTGGCCCGGTTCCTAACAGTCCATGGACCAGTGGTCCATGGCCCAGAGGTTGGAGACCCCTGTAATAAAGAGCTAGCCATTTCCCTAGTAGGCAATACATTGAGAAAATATAACCATGTTATATAAATTTGTTTTGTCCTAGACTTTTGTAGTGTAGAACTAAATTAATTAATTGCTATTATAAAGACTAAACCTTTGTCCTGATTTCAACTCCTTTTTCATGCTAACGCTGTGCTTAGATGTATTATCTCATACTCAGGAGTGATATTAAAAATATTAACAACTAATGTGACCTTGTCAGTGATCATCCAGAATACTCACTGACAATACATACCTGGTGTAGTTGTATCTGTGTGCACTGGCAGTATATCAACCCTACTCACAGTCACGTCACATAGCATCTTACACTTGCCTGGGTACTTTCACATCCATTCTCTCAGGTGATCTGGGGAAGGATATAGTGGCATCCCCTCTTTTGGAAATTGAGGGAATTGCAGCCCTAAAAAACTAAATGTAGGGCCCCTTATAATAAAAGATTTCTGGCTCTTAATTTAGTGTTCCTCCATGGTAGAAGTTTTTCTCTTTTCAGGTGAGAAGGAAGAGATGAGAGTAGCCACTTTTGATAGTACAAATATCAGCTTCTTTTAAAGAATATTCATAGTAGATGGTGGGTAGAATGAGCAACTCTCATCTCTCCTGCCCTCCCCCCCACCCCGACCCCAGAATCTTCCTTTCCCAAGCTAATTTTTCACTTCTGGGTCCCTTGTAGGAAATGCCTACCCTAGAAAAGTGAGACTAGCTCAAGTGAGTGAACGCATTTTTCCTAGAACTTGACTACCTGACTCAGCCGCTTTTCTCCATATTCACAGGACATTATGCCCTAAGTCTTGCTTTAAGAGTATATTCTTTTAACTACTTGTTTTTCCCCTCTCCTCCTTTCACAGAATGGTCTTCCCTCAGAGAACAACCCATATGTTTTTAATGGTGATTTTGTAGATCGAGGAAAAAATTCCATAGAGATCCTAATGATCTTGTTTGTGAGTTTTCTTGTGTTTCCTGAAGACCTGCACTTGAACAGAGGAAACCATGAAGATTTTATGATGAATCTGAGGTAACCTAGGCCTTCAGATTTCCTCTTATGTTTCCCACTCTGGAAAATGCTGTCATGTTTAGTTCCTAACAGAGAAGTGAGAGTAGAGAATGAGGGATGAGGGGAATCTCAAGGAAGACCTCAGTGTGTTTAGATGTATTATCTCGTACTCGGTATGAGTAATCTTCTTCTACTGAGTATCAATTGCTCTGATGCTCCCTTCCTATTTTTTGTTCCAGTTCTGTTCTTCCTTCTCCTTTCTGTTGTGTTCTTTCTCTTGCTCCCATGCCCACCCTTCACAGGCCAATTTGGGTGTTGGGTAGGTGGGTTAGGTCAGATGTGGGGGTATAGTAGACTTAGATGGAATCATTCTGTTGCTACTTTTGGTTTGCCTCAGATGTTGTCTCAAAAAGTGGCGCCATGCTTTTCACTAAAGTTAGTACTTTTTGTGACATGGTCATTGCTTCTGGAATGTTTTTCATAAACATATTTGAGAATAGGTGTGACATAGCTTTTCAACTATTGGATACACTGGAGATTTGAGGGATAAAGAGTGATTAGATGGTTTAAGAATTTTTGCTGAAAAGCACAGTAGATGCCAAATGTTCCCCTTTCCCTCCTTTTTTTCTTCTTCCTCTTCTTTTCTTTTTCTCCCTTTTAATTCTTGTTTTATGAAAAACATAAATCAGTTTGCTCTAAAGCAATAGAATATATGGCATGTCTCATGATTTTGGTCCTGCGATTTTGGGTAGTTTGATCAAAATTGAGCAAATGATTGGTTTTGTATTTTGGGCAGTCTTAGCACCCAGCCTGAGAACAGAGTTTCAATTCGAATTCCCAAGGTATGGAAGCAAATGCTAAGACTGTGAAGGAAAAAAAAATCCCAGAACTATTATCAGAGGCTCATTATATATAATATAGCTCAATACTTGTATTTGAGCATGCTATTTATCCTTTTATTTATTCAGTTAGCCAGTGATATTTATCTAATGCCTATAATGGTTAATGAAAGAAATATGGCCCCTGCCCTCATCGAGTTTAATCTAGCAGGGAAGACTTAGTGTTTCAGAGAAGGCAAGAAAGGTGAGGACTGCAAGGTGTTCATTGGATTTAACATGGACACCTTTCGTGAGTACAGGATAGAATTCATCTCAGAAAATATAATGTTACACTAGGGAAGCCTGGCATGACATGATTTGCATGGAAAACTGGAATGAGTGTGCTATATTCCATCTTCACAGTGTTTGGTATTTAGGATACATACTATTATCTTAATTCAGGGAGAAGTAACTGAAAGACATTTCCATCATTAAATCTCCCTTAGCTACTTTGATTCAGGCATTAAAATTCCTGACACTTTCTATTAAAACCCTCAATACAATTGCATGGCCTATATCAGAGAGAGCATAAGAAATCACCTTGTTATCTTCTAGACCTTTCAGTCTTTTCTTTTTTCCATTCATTTATATAAGATACAGGATATCTGAGAAATCCTATCCAAATGAAAAGCCTTCTCCCACACAGCTTCCCCCAGCTACCACACTTCTCTCAATACTTGCAGCATTTACACAACCTATGCCTACCATATTTCTTAAGTTGTCTTGTAACTGCTTCATGGAAATCTATCTTCTTTCCCAGTAATACTATAAACTCTTTTAGGGTAGAGACAATGTCTTTGATTCATTTTGTTCTTTCATCATGCCTAGCAAAGACTCAGGTAAGTAATAGTTCCAACTGAAGTCTAGTTTCTTTAGTTCTTGGTACTTGTGATAGTGAGATGTCAAAGGCTTCCTTTTTTGCATGACTCATGTAAGGAGGAATTATCAACAATCAACTAAATAGTTTATCATTTTTTTAAAGGTATGGCTTCACAAAAGAAATTTTGCATAAATATAAGGTAAGACACACACACACACACACACACACACACACACATTTTCTTCTTAGCATTCTATTTACTTTTATACAGAGAAGAAGAAGAAGAAGAAGAAGAAGAAGAAGAAGAAGAAGAAGAAAGAGCTGATAAAGACCAGATTTAGGAAAGGGGATGGACCAACTAGTCAGAATCCATGCCAATAAAATAAAAAATGCATGGTAAAGTCCTATATTTTCTTTCTGGACTAAACCATGCTTTTTCATTGTGACTTTTGTGTAACTTTTAGCATAGATACAAATACATTCCATTGTTTTAAAGGTACTGTGATTGGTTTTACTTGGGTATGGTAAAACACACAGACACATAAATGACTATCATGAAGGAAGAAGTTTTTATTCACAGTTCCCTAGAAACAGGAGGCACTGCATGCCACACTGGGGGAACCACTAGAGTCAATCAGAAGGCAGGGGGAGTGAGGGAGAAATACCATGGGTCTTAGTGGGAGGGAACCTGCAAGGCATCTCAGGGTAATCAGGTTTAGGATGGACTAGTTTGAAGAATTTCAGCCTGCTCTGGGGAATAGAGGTTGTTTCTAGTTGTGTGGTTCTTGGTCTTGGGGCAATTAGGGCAGGGGAACAGTGGCCCTGAGTATGAAAGCCCATAAAGGAGGTAGTTAGGGGTATAGGCTCTGATTGGTTGACTTGCATATGAGGGAAGAGTCATTTACTATCTCTAGAAATTAGTTAGCACTGGGTTGGACAGCCTTTTCTCCAGAGTCAGCAGGGTCCCAAGATGTTAAAGTATCAAAAACACAGAAGAGCTGGGCTCGGTGGCTCAGCCTGTAATCCTGTGCTTTGGGAGGCTGAGGTGAGTGGATTGCCTGAGCCTGCGGGTTCGAGACCCGCCTGGGCAGGCGAGACCTCATCTCTACAATAAATCAAAAAAAAATTAGCCGGGCGTGGTAGCACGTGTATGTAGTTCCAGCTACTTGGAAGGCTAAGGTGGAAGGATGGCAGGAGCCCAGCAGGTCGAGGCTGCAGTGGCTGGGAGCGGCCACTGCACTCCAGTCTGGGCGACAGAGTAAGACTCCAACTCAAAACAAACAAACAAACAACAACAACAAAAAAAGCACAAAAGAAAAAGGCATGATTAATAAAGACATACTAGTTGGTTAGTGACTCCCATACATGGTTTACTGAACTTAGGTTCAATAAACTGAACCTATCAGAAAAACAAAACTTACTCAACCACTTACTTACAGCTACATGGAAAAAGAATCTTACAAATCTTGGAAGAACTCTATACATGGCTCCCAATTGGTACGATCATTGATGATGAAGTCCTGGTCATACATGGTGGGATATCAGAGTCCACAGACTTGAATTTACTCCACCGTTTAGAAAGAAACAAAGTAAGAGCTAATGTTGGCATGAATCGTGTCTTGTCTCAGAGATTTATAAGGGACTATGTACTTCTTTTCATTTATTAGTTTAAATTGATTTGTGTTTTAGTGGTGGTTGTAACTCTGAAAAGATTAGTACACATTTTAAGAAAATATGTGATTGCCTGATAAAGAACTAAATGAGTAACTTCTATATATGGAAAATATTTTTTAAAAAATTATATTGAGAGTGTAAAATGAAGAAACAGCATTTCATATGGGTTCTAAAGGTGAGAAAGTCTGATTTTTAAAAATTAAAATCTCAATTAATTCATCTATATTATAAAATACACATAACATAAAATATATCACTGTAACGATACTTGTGTCGAGTACAGCAATAGAAAGTGTATTCATGTTGTTGTACAACCATCACTACCATCCATTTATGGAATTTTTCATCATCCCAAACTGAAACTGTGTCCTCATTAAATGCTAGTTCTTTATTCTCCCCCTCCCTCCACCTCCTGGCACGTACCGTTCTACTTTCTGTCTCTATGAATTTGACTACTCTAGGTACCTTATATAAGTGGAATCACATAGCAATTTATTTCTGAATTGATATGATTTCCCTTATAATATACTTCAAATGGGTCAGGATAATTTTTTTGAAATGTTTTCTTCCTAAATAATAATGTTAAATACAATAGAAGTAGAGCAGGGACTATTGTGAAACCACTGGCAGAAGTGGCTACGTGGTACCTGGTGAAGGCTCCTTGGACGGGCCTTGCAGTATCACTGGAATTGTCTTCCTCCTCTCCCAGAGCCAAGCCCAAGTCCCCAGACTAGAGGCATAGGGTTGCCATGTGGGCATAAGGAACAATGACAGCTGTGGAGCCAGATGATGGTGTATGGTCCTCATGGGAAACCTGAACATTTTCCCCTCAAGACTGATAATCAGCTTCTAACCAATCTGTGCAAATGGGGTCTAGAAATGGAATTTAATCTCATAGAGACAGAAATGTGGCCCCTATTTCATCTTGAGTTTTGGGGCCCTTTATACCTTTATACATATATGAATGATAATATTGTTGCTAACATCTTCTCATCTTTTTAATTTCAGCTTAAATATGACTTCCAGATTAGATCAGATCCCCTTTTATATGCTCTCAAGCCCCTTGTACATATCTTTCATAACAGTCACCAAAATAAACAAGGAAATGTGGTACTGTAATTGTTAACAATGCTTCCTTTTACTCTCAAAATTATCCCAGTTGCAATAAATTTTAAGGCCACCCTAAATTTAAGATATCTTTTTCATGATATCAGCAAATAGTCAAGCCAATAAAATGTTTTGATCAAGATGAGATAGTCAGTATTAACATAATGAGTGGATACAATTCTAGCCAAGAACCAGGGAACATGATGTTTTTGTCAGTCAAATATTGGCAAGCACACACATGAATGCCATATTCCACCACCATCCTTCCTGTGACTACAGTGCTAATCAGGCATAACAGCCACTACCAGTCAACCAGATTGAAAACTTCTGTTTTCCTGAGGCTAGCCTGAATAGCCAGCCCTAGCTGGGGCTTTCTGAGATATTGGGAAGCTATCTCTGGAATGTCCCTTACTAGTCTATGGAGTCCTAAGTTGAGAACCACCTTAACATAGTTAAGACTGAGGCTCTGACATTAGACATAGCTAGGTTTGCATCCTGTCTCTGCCAATTCCCGAATGGGTGACTGGGCAAAGCACTAAAGTTTTCTTATCCTTAGTTTCCATACCTATAAATTGAAGATAAAAATACCTACCATATTGAATTGTTGGGAGGATTAAATATGATTGCCTAGATGAAGAAAATGGCATATAGCACTCTTCTCCAGCTGTCTTCTTTTTTCTGATACTTGGAACTGAGGTTTGATTTTCAGTCACCAAGACAGACACTCAGGAGAAGTTTGTCAGCCAGGAATTTTCCCAGGATACCTCAAATTTCACTCCCTTCAGGGATCACATTTCTGTCTGCTCATAAAACTGGTTTTAATGATAGAAATTTGACTTGTATATTGTTTGTGTCTTCTACCTTTCCTAGAGTGAGGTTGAACTGGCAACACATACAAGGGGGAACCCCCCAACCAGAATTTATTTATAAAAATTGTGGCCAGGTACAGTGGCTCAAACCAATCTCAGGACTTTGGGAGGCCGAGGCGAGAGGATTGCCTGATCTCAGGGGTTCGAGACCAGCCTGGGCAACTTGGTGAGACCTCGTCTCTACAATAAATAAAAAAATAAGCCGGGCATGGTAGCACATGCCTGTAGTTCCAGCTACTTGGAAGGCTGAGACAGAAGGATCACCTGAGCCCAGCAGGTCGAGGCTGCGGAGGCTGTGAGTGCGCCACTGCACTCCACCCTGGATGACAGGGGGAGACTCCAACTTAAAATAAATAAATAAAATAAAATAAAATAAAATAAATAAATATAGTATTTATTCTTACTTATTTAAACTTCAGTCGCCTTCAAGGTACTATCTGTTTGATACAATACACCTATTGAGACACTTTTTCCACTGTTCAAAACAGTTTTTGAACTCATCAATTTGGATGCCTTTTAGTGCTTCTGCTGGTTTTTGTTTCACCTCTTTCGTAACAGCAAAATGTTTCCCTTTGGGGACTTTTTCATCTGGGGAAACAAAAAAAAGTTGCTTGGGGTGAGATCGGGTGAATAGGGAGGATGGGGTATGGGGATCATGACGTTTTTAGTAAAAAACTGCTGAACACAGCGTGGTGTGGGCAGGTTGTTTGTGTAAATCACCCATCATGAAATGGGCAAATGTGTTGAAAGAATCTCTTTAAAAAATTCACTGAAGCTGAACACAGCCTCTCACAACAATGCTAGCTGCTACACTGATGCCAATGGGCTCCTAGAACGCTTATCTAGCATGGAGAGCCTGTACTACAAGGGCCCCGCCCTCCAAAAATAATTCTGGGTTTTTTGGGGACCCCCCTCGTACTTGTTGCATTAAATATAAATGAACTGTACTGAAAGTGGTAGGTTCAAGCCTTTGGAACTCTATCAGGCGAGACACAAAAGTAGATTTTCAAGTCCAATTTTATAACCCCCACTTTCCCATTCCATAGGACCCTTCAACCCTCCACAGTAGGAGTGACCATACTTCCTGGTTTACACCTGTCATTGTTAATAGAAGAGGCAGAGAGTTGGGGGAACCTGATGACAACCTCCATTCTAGGTTCATTAAAGGCATTTTGTAAGGTGGGCAGGTTGTGGGGGGAGTCAATGCAGAGGGACAGAGAAGGAAGAGTCTACAATACGAAGACTCTAGTTTAGTGTTTTTCAAACTCCCCAACAGCATGTGGGAAAAGATGACCAGTAGGACCCCCAGGAGAAAATGATGGTATAGTGCCCTAACTGGAGCTGGGCTAAGTGGCCTTGAAAACTTCAGAGCCACTCCTAATTAAGAGATCAAGTATCTTTGCCAAATGAGCTTATCAGAAGTGAGTTTTGTGGACTCAAGTCCAGCAGGTCCTCCCAGAATATTCTGCTCAGCCTACGACCTGGATATATTTGCTGGTGGGAGATAGGGAAGGTAGGCGATAAACTAGTAGTAGGCTGGGAACTGGCTAGTAATAGATGAGATTGAATTTCCACTCCGCTCAGTGAGACAAGACCTCAGAATAAGATTAAATTTTATTTTTGAAAAATAAAGGTAAGATTTCGTATAGTATTGTCCATCATTGAACTATAACCACCAATGTAACAGAAGTATTATTCAAGATTGTTTTGATAAAGGTATGATGCTACAAAGAAGCAAGTACAAAATTAGTCTCAGGTTGTGTAAGGGAATGCAGAAGGGATTACAGTAGTCGAAGTGCTATCAGAAAGACATTTCATTTTCCAAAGAATTATAGCAGTTTCGTTACTAGGATTAGAGAACATAATCAATTGCTGGCAGGGTAAGGTTGAGAACTACACTGTATTTCGGTTGAAGGCCTTCCAAACTTTTCAACCTATATCATCTTTGAGAACTTTCCTGGATGCTGGTGGACTTTTTCTCATTTATTTTAGAAAGCATAGCAAAATGAAAAGCAGTCACCCTCTTAAGAAGTATTTATGAACTTCTCAAGACCCCATGTATAGACAAAGGCTCAGAGGGAGTCTAGTTTTCCCTACGCTTAGCAACTTCCATTTGCTGTGCTGATGCCCCAAGGTGTCTAATGCCTACAGCTGTGCCTCTGGGAGCCCCTAGAAGCTTTAATGAGAATCTTTCCCTGTAGGGCAATGTCTCTAGTCAGAAAAATGTACAAACAATTTAATGAGGTCATTTTATAGACATCGGTGGATTAATGAGATATAGGAGGTGGGTGAGATGAAAAAGGTAACCGTGTGTTTTTCCTTGGGTTGAGGAGCAACATTATAGACAGAATCCTAAGTGGTACTGAAGTCTTTGCATGCAACACAATAAACAGAGGGTTTGGCTAAAGAATGAATGTGTTTTATAGATGAGATCTGTGCTGATACCACCAATGAAAGATAGTGGAGAGTACGCCACTGACTTGAAGCAAAACAAAGTAGGTGAAACTGTTACTGCGCCTGGGAGAATCAAACCAAATGAATCCCCTTCTGAAGATTTATCAGTGTGTGAATGGAAACAGGTAGGTAATCAACATGTTTGGAGTGGCAGTGAAGACAACCTATATAATGTTGTCCCTTACAAGATACAGATAAAAGGTGACTTTACCTTTATAGGTAGACCATATCATTCTCTCTTAATTCATCACTATAGTTTTAACAGCTTTATCGAGGTATAATTTACATACCATGTGACTCACCCATTTAAAGTTTATAGTTCAATGGTTTTTAGTATGTTCTCAGTATTGTGCAACTATCACCACAATCTGATTTGAGAACCTTTTCATCATCCAAAAAAGAAACCCCTTGCATGTTAGCTGTCACTCCCCATTTTCTTTCATCAGCATCGTCAGTGCTGTCAGCACCCCCACAACACCACGGCCTTAAGCAAACACTAATCTACTTTCTGTCTCTATAGATTTGCCTATTCTGAACATATTATAGAAGTGGACATACAATATGTGATCTTTTGTGACTGGCTCCTTTCACTCAGCACAATGTTCTTGAGGTCCATCCATGTTGCAGCATGTATCAGTGCTTCATATCTATTTATTGCTGAACAATATTCCATGGTATGGATAAACACATTGTATTTATTCATTCATAAATGAATGGACATTTGGGTTGTTTCCACTTTTTGGCTATTACGAATAATGCTGCTATGAACATTCACATATAAGTTTCTGTGTGCATATGTTTTTAGTTCTCTTAAGTGTATACCTAGGAGTGGAATTGCTGAGTTATAAGGTACCTCTAAATAAAGTTTAACATTTTGAGAAAGTTCCAAATAGTTTTCCCAAGGGGCTACAACATTTTACATTTCCGCCAACAACGTGTGAAGGTTTCAGTTTCTCTACATCCTAACACTTATCGTCTATCCTTTTGATTATAGTCATTTTCTCGTTGTGGTTTTGATTTGCATTTTCCCTAATGACTAATGATATTGAGCATTTTTTCATGTGCTTATTGGATATTTGTAAATATTATTTGGAGGAATATCTATTCAGATCCTTTTGTCCATTTAAAAAATTGAGTTATTTTTATTTTTATTATTGCATTGTAAGAGTTTTTAATGCATTCTAAATACAACTCCCTTACCAGTTATATTATTTGCAAATATTCTTTCCCAGTCTATGGATTATCTTCTCCCCTTTCTTGATGGTGTCCTTTGCAGAACCAGAATTTTTAATTTTGATGAATCCCAGTCAAAATTATGTGTTCTTCTCTTTGGTTGCTCATATTTGTGGTGTTATATCTAAGCCACTGGTTAATCCAAGTCATGAAGATTTGTTACTTTGTTTTCTAAAAGTTTTATAGGTTTAGATATCATATTTATGTGTTTGATCCATTTTGAGTTAATTTTTTATGTGTGGTGGGAAGTGGGATTTCAAATTCATTCTATTTCATGTGGGTATTCAGTTATTCCAGCACCATTTCTTAGTCTTTCCTATTTTTAAGCTTTCTTGGCACCCTTACCAAAAACAAAAAACAAAAACAATTGACCATAAAAAAGGGTTTATTTCTAGATTCTTAATTCTGTTCCACAATCTATATGTTCATCCTTTTTATCAGTATTGTACAATTCTGATTACTGTAACTTTGTAGGAAGTTTGAAATTGGAAAGTGTGAGTTCTTCAACTTTGTTACTCTTTTTCAAGATTGTTTTGGCTATTCTGGGTCCCTTGAATTTCCATATGAATTTTAAGATCAGTTTCAATTTCTATCAAAAAGCAGTTGGGATATTAGTAAGGATTGCCTTGAATCTGTAGATCAATTTCGGCACTATGGCTATCTTAACAATATTATATCTTCAATTTTGTAAACATGGAATGTCCCTTTATTTAGATCTTTAATTTCAGCAGTGTTTTGTATTTTTCAATGTACGTGTCTTGCACTTGTTTTGTTAAATTTATTCCTAAGTGTTTTCTGATGCTATTGTAAATATAATTGTTTTCTTAATTACATTTTGGATTGTTCACTGCTAGTATTGGAACTACAACTGACTTTTGTATAATGACCTCGTGTTATGAACTTTGATAAACTTATTAATTCAATTGGTTTTGGTGGATTCCTTGAGATTTTCCATATACAAAATCATGCTATCTATAAATACAGATAATTTTACTTATCCCTTTCCAGTCTATCTGCCTTTTCTTTTTCTTTTTGCTTAATTGCCTTGTTTAGAACCTCCAGCATAGTGTTTAATAAAGATGATGAGAGTAGACATCCTTATCTTGTTCATGATATTGGGGGAAAGCATTCAGTTTTTCATCAAGTATGGTATTAGCTGTGTATTTGTAGCAGCTTTTTATCAGATTGAGGAAGTTTCCTTCTGTTTTTAGTTTGTTGGGTGTTTTATTATGAAAGATTGCTAGATTTTGTCAAATTCTTTTTCTGTGCATATTTTTCTGTGCATGTTTTTTCCTTTATTCTCTTTTTATGGTGTATTCCATTGATTGATTTCAGATGTTAAGATAACCTTACAAGTGGGATAAATCCAACTTGGTCATGGTACATAATTCACTTGATATGTTGTTGGATTCCATGGACTATTTTTTGAGGATATTTGCATCTATTTTAATAAGTCTTACTGGTCTGTCGTTTTCTTGTGATATCTTTGTCTGGTTTTGGTATTACAATACAAATGGTCTCAAAAGATGAATTGGGAAGTATTATCTCCTTTTCTATGTTTTGGAAGAGTTTGTGAAGGAGTGATATATATATTTTTTTGAGTTGGAGTCTCACTCTGTCGCCCAGACTAGAGTGCAGTGGCCGCTTCCGGCCACCGCAGCCTCGACCTGCTGGGCTCCGGCGATCCTTCCCCCTCAGCCTTCCCAGTAGCCGGAATTACAGGCATGTGCTACCACGCCCGGCTGATTTTTTTATTTATTGTAGAGATGAGGTCTCACTGCCCAGGCGGGTCTCAAACCCGCGGACTCAGGCAATCCACTCACCTCAGCCTCCCAAAGGCGTGGTATTACAGGTTGAGCCACCGAGCCCGGCTGTGAAGGAGCGATATTAATTATTCTTCAGACATTTGGTAGACTTCACCAGTGAAGCCATCTGGGCCTGGGCCTTTCTTTGTATGACGTTTTAAAATTTCTAATTCATTTTTTTCATGCTATAGTTGTATATATACTCTTTATTTCTTCTTGAGTAGTTTGTGTCTTGATAGTCGTGTCTGTCTTGGAATTTGTCCATTTCATCTAGTTTATCTAATGTATTGGCCTAAAGTTGTTTGTAGTATTTCTTTATAATTTTTTTATCATATAAGTTTGGTAGTAATATTCCCTCTTTCATTCTGGATATTAGTAATTTGAGTCTTCTCTCTTTTTTCTTGGCCAGTCTCACTAAGGTTTTTCAATTTTATTGATCTTTTCAAAGAACCAACTTTTGGTCTTATTGATTTTTCTCTATTGTTGCCTAGTCTCTATTTAATTTATTTCTGTTCTGATCTTTATTATTTTTTTCCTTCTGCTTGTTTAAGGTTTAGTTTTCTCTTCCTGTTTGAGTTTCCTAAGGTAGAGGTAGTATCATTGATTTGAGATCTTTTTATTTTTTTAATAAAGATATAAATTTCCATTGAAGTACTGCTTTATCTCCATTCCATAAGTTTTGCTATATTGTGCTTTTGTTTTCATTCATGTTAACGTATTTTCTAGATACCCCTGTGATTTCTTTTTAACTTATCTGCTATTTAGGAGTGCATTTAATTTCTACATATCTGTGAGTTTTCCATATTTCTTTCTCTTATTGATTTCTAATTTAATTTGATTGTGGTCAGAGAACACATGCTTTGCATGATTTAAATTCTTTTAAAACTTTTTCTTCTTTTTTTGTAAATCCTTTTAAAACTTATTGAGGCTTTTTTTGTGGTCTAGCATATGGTCTATCCTGGAGAATGTTCCATGTGCACTTTAGAAGACTATATATTTCACTCTTGTTGGGTGGAGTGTTTTATATATGTCTCTTTGAAGATATTTATAATAGTTGCTTTGAAATCTTTGTCTGCTAAGTCAACATCTAATGCCTTCAAATGCAGTTTTTATTGCCTGCTTTTGTTTTCCTGGTGCATGAGTCATGCTTTTTTCTTTGCATGTCTTATAATTTTTTTGTTGAAGACTGGATATTTTAGATAATACATTGTAGTATTATCTATAGTCTAGATAGTTAATCCCATGCCCCTCTGGGGCTTGTTGTCATTATTTGCTTATTTGTTTATTTGTTTAGTGACTTGTTTGGACTAATTTAGTGAAATCTAGCCCCTTCAGTGTATCGCCTCCAATGTTGCTCCTCACAGGGTGCTGCCTTGGGCATGCAAACAGTTTCCCTGACCACCTGGGATGGTGTGACTTTAGTTGGGCTCTCTTTGCCTATTTCTTTCCCTGATCTCTCCTTTAAGTTTCTGGCCTATCAGCCTCTGTTTGTATCAGACCTGGCTATTGGTCTTTCCTAATTGCTAGCAGACTGTGCTATTGTTTCTAACAATGGCCTGGCTAACAATTTGCTCTGCAGTCTGATCCAATTAAAGTTGGATCCCCTTTGCATGGGGCAGGGTGTTGACCATGTTTGAGGCTTACTCTGGCCCCCAAGAGTCTCTTCTCATCTCTTTCACTGGTTCCCTTAAACTTCTAGCTGGTCTACTGTTACTACTAGTATCATAGAACTACCCCACTTCTTCTATTAATTAATGCTTACTTCCGAGATCTCCATTGCTTTCAACAGTGCCCTTAGGTATGAACTTCCCTGTGCTAGGTGCCAAATAAAGCCAGTTCTCTTAGGAAGAATGGCAGAGTTCTCTGTTCTTGACCTGCCTCTCCCCTTGGGACAAACCTCTGTGCCATTGCACTGGAGCTTGGAGCAGAAAAAGCCTCAATACGTTTTAAAAGGATTTACAAAAAAAAGGAGAAAAAGTTTTAACATTTTGTAACTTGTTTTTTTTTTTTTAACAAAATTCTCCTGGAGTGACAACCCTGTTCTGCAAGTAGGGTGGTAGCCAGGAATGATAGACCCTAGTTTTCTT